TCCTTTTATTCCCGTCTCTTACAATAGTATCTGGTTTGCAATTTCTTATTAATGTGATTTTGATTCCCTTATGATGAAGACAGTTCTGTTTGTATGTTGGATGTATATCACTCTGTCCACCTTGACCCTGACAGGCCGAGTGTCAGCGGCCAACTCCCTAAATAGTCTCTATGTTTCAGTGTGGGCCTTATTATACTTGACTACGGTACCTGCTACTTCCTTTCCAGTACAGTATTCTGATTTTGCTCCTGTGTGTTTTTCTTGTTTACCAGGTTTAACTAAAGATGATAAGTAAGTACGTTTATTCAGTGTTTAAGGCCATTGGCCCACATCACATCATATAAAACCTTCATTTGAAAAATAAAGTTTCCATATAATGGAAAAGTACAGATTGTGCACATATCTCTAATCATGGGTCAAACATTGTATAATTTCCTTTTGCCAGGTTTAGCGAAGGATGATGTGACGTTACGCGACTTGAAGGTGGTGAAAGGAGCCAAGATCATGGTCGTAGGCTCCACCTTGAATGATGTCCTCTCTGTCAGCGCCCCGGCCTCCAAAGAACTGCAAGCAGAAGAAAAAGCGTCTGCAAAAGCAGCGAAAGAACCTCTCTCAGAACAAAAGGTATGTCACTTGCTCGTGAAAGGGAACCCGTGGATACTGTGGTAGCCGTCACTGGTATGTTTTGTGGGATTGTCTTTACTCAAGGATGTACTGGAGAGAGAGAGAGAGAGAGAAAGATAAAGAGAGTGAGGAAGAGAGACAGAGGGAGAGAGAGAGAAAGAGGATTACTATAGGAGCTGTGCACTGCATATGTTCTTTGTATTATTTCACAGCGCATTGAGCACTTCTTTGTGGAACCATATAAATACCATTTATTATTTTTTATTATTATTATTTATTATTATGTTCATATTATTCGTATTGTGATGTTGTTTATTGTATGATGACAAATGTAACCTCATTGCTATCGTACGTATGTATTTTAACTTCTTCCGCCTGCGGCGCTGCTCACAGCGGCTGACTGTCTCCTGTGTCTTGATGCAGAGCTGCTCACAGCCTATCTTATCTATTGCTCCCTTTCTTCACATCACTTTCCTCTCATCTTTTTTCCTGACTGCTTACATTTCTTCCCTTTTTTCTGGTGTCATTGAATAGTATTTTTGATTCTGAGCATTTCCATCTGCCACACACAGGGTTTTTATCAAATTTAGATATTTCTTTATTCATTTTTTGTGAGACCACCCCTGAGGTCACGAAGTTACAAATTATTTGCGTTCAGAGTCAAAATGATCTGCAAGCCGAATCAGTTTAGTAATCAAAATGAGTTTGTTCTTTTCCTCATTCTTAAAATCCCCCCTCTTGAAATAACATTCCTATTTTGAAGGGGGGGGGGGGGGAAGCACTTAACTCATACTTTTACTTATCAAACATTATACATTTAGGTTTTCACTCTACTGCCGTGGGTAAGTGGCGGTGCTCTGGTGTAGTTTGCTCCTTCTTTCCTCTAAAAAATCTATCGTCTCTATCTCCCCTCCTTCTTTTTTGTGTTTGAAATCACTTGTAACACATCTAATCTTCGGCACTTATATGACCGTATTGTGTTGCAAGTGCAGTAAAACTCTTACTAAAACTTTTAAAAACTCTAATGCCACCTCGCTGATGTTTTTGTTGTTGTCCTCCCTTCTTTCTAGCAACACAAGAAAGTTCTGGACAAGTACGGCAAGCCCGACGACGTGCCTGTGGGTATCAAGAAGTGCACGGAGCCCCTGCCACAGGTCCCTCTCTCCGGCATGTACAACAAGGCTGGGGGGAAAGTTCGGCTCACCTTCAAGATGGAGTCCGATCAGCTCTGGATAGGCACCAAAGGTGATGTTGTGTTAGTTGGGTTCTTTAGATCATTGTTTGATTCATAACAAGACGTGAGACACACATCGGGGTTACGGTAAAGAACATGGAAGCAGCCATCTTGGTAACCCAGAATGTAACTGTTTATTTTTTTAGAATCGATTACAACATCCATATATCAAGATCAGTATCGATTATTATTATTATCGAATATGACAGGTGAGCGACTGGGGCTCTTGGCTTGCTTTGTTTTCAAATTAGAAATTAGAGAAAAAAAAGCCAAAAAATCCCAAAAAAACTTGCAGCCTGCCAGACAAATTAATTTCTAAGGAGAAGAATTGGGTAGGAATGAAGGAAAAGAGAAGAAAAAAATAAGGAAGGAATGACAGGTGAGCGACTGGGGCTCTTGGCTTGCTTTGTTTTCAAATTAGAAATTAGAGAAAAAAAAGCCAAAAAATCCCAAAAAAACTTGCAGCCTGCCAGACAAATTAATTTCTAAGGAGAAGAATTGGGTAGGAATGAAGGAAAAGAGAAGAAAAAAATAAGGAAGGAAGGTAGAGGCATTGCACCAAATAAAGGTGCTGTTTCTAGAGATTGACTGTTGTGTGTGGGAGTCGATGAACTCTTGAGTGTATGCGGTCTTTAAAAAAAGATTCTTTTTGATGGCACTAAGATGTAGACCTGCATGTTTGCGACAATCGTCTGAAATCCGACAATCGCGACCCGACCCGCGATCCGGCCGGTGCTATCGCTAGGCCCGCCTGTATCAGTCAATGTGTGTAGTGCGAGGCTTGGCCGACTGCCAGCGACCCCTTTTTCTCCCGTCGGCTTCGTCGGCACTTTCGTTTTCATGCCGACCGCCGACGCGCGCACCGCCGACTGCCGACGTCGGCGTTTCCGACATAATTGTCGGAACATAAGTAGAAATGCGAATACGAAAAAGGACGACAACTTAAATTATCTACTTTCAGTTTCGTGCTCGAGCGGCCATTTTGAATTTCGTTTGTTGACTAATTCAATTGTTCAGATCGTGTGGATTCATTCAAGTCCGACTCTCTTGTTCTAATAGAATCTAGATCTAGATCTAGATTTATATAGATCATTATAGACCTCAATGGAGGATTCATATTCCAATTCTATTGTGTCAAACCCTATCATAGGTTGTGCTGTAATATTAATATTGGTTAAAATAAGCATTTCATCAGGTGCGTGAATTATTTATTTATTGAGATCTAGAATCTAGACTCAGCTGAGTCCGTCTGTTCGGAATCGGATGCGGATTTCTAGTTCAAAGCCTATTCCTAATTCACTTGTTCTACAAGATCTAGATCTAGATTTATTTAGATATCTAGATCTAGATCTAGATCTATATGAAGGATTCATATTCCAATTCTATTGTGTTATTCATAACTTATTGTATCAAACCCCCTATAGCAATGTAGATGAAGCCATATATAGATCTAGATCTAGATTATATGCTCCTTGTTTGTTTTGGAGTGTGGTTTTTTAATTTAATTTTTTTTTCATTTAGGACTTGCAGGTTTTTTGGGGGTAGGGTTAGGGTTAGGTCTCTTCTTTATTGTGTTTGTTGGGGTGGTCGCTCGTTACTCGGATGTCCTTCCGTATGACACCCACAAAGGCTTTTTCTTTGGGGGCGGGGGAGGGGGTTGCGCAAAATTTTCAGACAATCTTGTTGAGGCTCACATGCAGGTCTATAAGATGACTGCATTCACTTTTATGATCTCTTTTACTGTCCTATAATATATTCCATGACGTAGTGGAATCAGACACTCGTCAATATTTGGGCTTATGGAGTTCTTGATATTGTCTTAAAGCTTGTTCACTTGTCTTGCTTTTGATGAAAAAAAATACCCATATATCTTGAATCAAAGTCGAGATATTTACAATTGAATGAGGTGGGGGTTACCTGGTTTCAGGGGTAAAATTAGCGAGAAAATCGCGGCTAAAGTCTGGTGATTTACAGAGCTTGAAAGTCCTTGTGAAACTTTACAAATTTTTTTTGTGTCTTTATAATCAGCGTTTTGCAAAAGAATCGTCATGGAAATGAGTTTTTAAGTGGGCTTAAAAACTAAAAGGGGTTGAGCCTAAAAACGATTTCTTTAATATCATTATTTTGACGAGCATCTGATTTCACGATACCTCACATTTACACCTTTGATCTCTCCACTAGTTAAGGGATTGAAAAATTTTCTTAAATTCTCATGTAATGTGTAGCTTTAGCTGTGAAATGAAGTGTAAAAAATACTCCTTATATTCTATACCGAGTCGATTAATTTTTTTTTGGTGCTTGTACAGCCTCTCAAAGTCTTTCCGGTGTTTGACTGTTGTGTTATTTCTCTTCTGTAGAACGAACGGACAAAATTCCGATGCAGTCTATCAAAGCTGTTGTGTCGGAAGCCATCAAGGGCCATGAAGACTATCATATAATGGTGAGTAGACGCTTCAGTAGCTTCACATAGATGGTTCCTGTCTGTTTATGTTGGGTTTTAGGAAAGACCAAGGCACATAGACAAACCCAACCCCAAAGACCCTTCGAGTCTCTTATGTACAGGGTTCCCGCGGCCTCCTTGAATTCAAGGAGTCCTTGAAAACTGCGTGAATTTGCATTCAAGGAAAAATGTCCTTGAAAACCCCTTGAATTTTGCCAGATGGGACTGGAACACAGGGTGACTGCCAGGCCCCGGGAATCCCGGGGGCCCCTGAGTTAATTTTTACCGGTCCCGATTGTGATATAATATTCATTTGGCTTTTCCTGGCTCGAGAGTACGTTACCCGCGCACAGGCGGTTATGGTGGCAACTAGTGGAAGTGTATGTGCAATACCGAAGCTCAATCGGGAAAATCAAGATCTGCTTTCGCTTTCGTTACCGCCCAGAAATTTGCCGGTAGGGCCTATAGTAGTCTGATAACGCCACATTTGTAACATGCAGGTTCTGCATTACAAACGCGGTGTCGTCATGAAAATAAATCATTTGTCCTGTGCTGTCACTTGTGAAAAAAAATAAAAATAATACAAGCTTCTTGTTGGGCTCGCCATCGTGACCGGTCATTGAACCTGTGCGTTTTCGTCACATCGTGAGTAGCGGCGATGGTTGAGGTCACCAAAGTACATGCAAAGTCTGAGCGCTGCGAATTATAGGACTCTGGAATGTGGGTATTATTGAGTAGGGGGTTGGCGGGATGGGGTTGAAGGCAACACCGGATGACAAAAACTGAACTTGGAAGCAGATTTTACTTTCCAGAATTTTGATTGCTATTAAATCTTAGGGTTCCGCGGCCTCCTTGAATTCAAGGAGTCCTTGAAAACTGCTTGAATTTGCATTCAAGGAAAAAATCTCCTTGAAAACTCCTTGAATTTTGCCAGATCGGACAGGAACACGTGTACAGGGTGACTGCCAGGCCCCGGGGAATCCCGGTCCCTGGAATTACCCAGGAATTTGAAAAAAATCGCCGAGACCTGGAATGCAACGGGAATTTGAAGAAATCTGTAAATTGCCTCGTGAAAGACCCGGGAAAATACATAAACTTTCTCGAATATTGAAAACCAAATCCGATAACATCCTTGAGTTCATTTTTGCTGGTCGCGATTGTGATATATTCATTCGGCCTTTCCCGGCCTGAGAGTACGATAAACGCGCATGGGCGGTTTTGGCGGCAACAAGTGGAAGTGTATATTGTATGCGATACTGAAGCTCGATCGGTAAAATCAAAATCTACTTTCGCTTTCGTTATCACCAAGAAATTTGCCGGTAGGGCCTATAGTACTCTGATAGCGCCACATTTGTAACATGTAGGTTCTGCATTACATACGCTGTGTCGCCATGAAAATAAATCGTTTGTCTTGTGCTGTCACTTGTGAAAAAAAAAAAGAAAGAAAAAGAAAGTTATACATGTACAAGCTTCTTGTCGGGCTCGCCATCGTGACCGGTCATTGAACCAGTGCGTTTTCGTCACATCGTGAGTATCGGCGATGGTTGAGGTCACCAAAGTACATGCTAAGTCTGAGCGCTGCGAAGTATAGGACTCGGGGGGGGGGGGGGGGGATTATTGATTTTTTTTTTTTTAGACGCACGCGGGGAGGGGTAGGGGTGGTGTTGAAGGCAACACCGGATGACAAAAACTAAACTTGGAAGCAGATTTTACGTTACAGAATTTTGATTACTACTATCTAGATCTAGATCTAGAGCTCTCAGCAAAGCGCGCGTTGGTGAAAGTCTTGTATAGAATCGGGATCTGTCATACTCAAACCTTGTAAGCCGTGTGTTTGTAACTATAGGGTTCCTGTTTCATTGGGTAGGTTGTAGTAAATTATATGTATTGTATATTCTATATTTTAGCTTTCTGTTCAAGATTCGCAGATTTTCAGTGTCACTGCATCTTGCCCTCCCACAGTTCTTACACCTCTCACGCTGAATAGGTCTACTTGAGCCATTCATGTTATTACTCTAATTTTAGTCAAATCTAGAGTCATTAATAATTTTTGTCTTTCACGTTTATTATATATACCTTGACACCCAAAACGGTTCTTCACAGTGGATATTCTGGTTCTAGTTCTAGGCCTTTTCTGAGGCTCAAAGCAAGATTCATTTTTATATAGTTTATATAGGGGAATATGATGAGGGGAAAATATAAATAAGTCAGAACACACTGAAATACCTAAGTCACAGTATCCCAGTGCCACACTGACATCATGTTTTTGACTGGATATAATGTACCTACATGCTTGCCGGCGCACGTGTGTGTGTATATATTATATATTCAATATAAATGGAGCATGCACTGTCATTGTTATGTAACATGCCCATGCCCCTGGAGAATGGATGAGCCCCCCCCCCCCCCCCCCCCCTCTCTGGAAAATTGAGAAGCCGGGTTGACAGTCACCCTGGGAACAGTTTTTGTAGGGAAATCGAAACTATGATATGGTTCATTTCGGACAAGTGTAGGCCTTCGAAAATAGGCTTTCGTCATGAATTTCTTGACCAAATCTCCTTGAATTTTAAAAATTCCTCCTTGAAACTCCTTGAAATCTCCTTGAATTTGGTGGGAAGTTCATGTCAGGAACCCTGTAACAAGTTTCAGATTTATGATTGGGTCATTCCATGAAAAATGAAATTGCAGTGACACACGTAACATGGAGATGATGATGTGCTAAAAAAAATTCCAAGCAGTAATACAGTCTTTCTTTCTTCTTCTCGGTTTTTTCTTTTAGAGGCAACTTATTGGGTGGGTGGCGGGTGCTCTGGTGTGGTTTGCTTCTTCTTTCCCATCAAACATCTATCGTCCTCATCTCCCCTTCTTCTTTTTTATGTTTGTTACTCTCTTGTAACACCTCTAATCTTCTGGCGCTGATATGACCTTATGCAGTTGCGAGTGCCGTAAAACCTCTACTAAAACTAAACAAGAGGCAACTTATCCGTAACAAAATGAAAACAACCCCCAAAAAAACAAAAAAGGAACAACAAACAAACAAACAACAACCCAAAAGCAACAAAAAAATCCAACGACCCCAGCCTTTTCTCCGTGTAGAATTTATTCTTAGCAGCTCATCATGCCAGTGGTAGTCCTACTTATGTCCCTGCAGTTTCATTTTTTGTGGAGTGGCCCAATTTCTAATGTGGGTGGTTGGCGGGTGCTCTGGTGTGGTTTGCTTCTTCTTTCCTCTCAGACATCTTTCATCTTTATCTCCCTTCCTTCTTCTTCGTGTTTGTTACTCTCTTGTAATATCTCTAATCTTCGGCACTTATATGACCTTATTATGTTGCGAGTGCCGTAAAACACTTACTAAAACTAAAACTAAACCAATTTGTAATGTCCACTGAGGCTGTGGGAATTTCATGTTTCAAATTTCCGCATTGGCAGGGTATCCAGCTGGGTCCGACGGAAGCCTCCAGGTATTGGGTGTACTGGGTCCCTGCGCAGTACGTCGAGGCGGTCAAGGAAGCCATCCTCGGCAAATGGCAGTTCTTTTGATGGCATCGGCAACGGTTGTGCGAATGGATGTGTGGATGGACAGAAGGAGGAGCAAGCTACAGACACTTGGACCTGTTTGTGTGTGTGTGTGTGTGTACAGTGCTGGATTCAACACACTCACACGTGTACATGTGCAGATTTCTCTTTCTGTTGTGGGTTGTGTGTGCCCGTGGACAGACTGTGAAGGCGTGGATTACTGTTTGTGCGGTGTGGCTTGAACTGAGTGCCAATTGCTCAGAAATTCTCTTGTGTTGGGATTTTGAACAATGTAGGAATTAGTCAGGATTGATTATTGCTCTTGTGGAGAAAATATAACCTACTTTTATGCAGGACAGTCGTCATTTCTATGTTTTTAAAAAAAAGGTTTTGCACTTAGTTCTCAGATGCTGATTAGATTTTTGATTTCCTCATGAGAAGCCTTGGCTTTGTAGAGGTTTTTATCGCAGACCTGCCAAATACTCCAATAAAATCTGAACCCTCTGATTTTTTTTGGGCATAAAAATTTTATTTATTATTTAATTGAATTTCGTTTTCATCAGTCGTACACAAGTTATAGTAAATAAAAATAATACACAAGTTTATTTGCAATATCTGCGCGCCTTGTTGTAAATGACGTTTTTTTTCCCCCCCGTACTTGAAGTTTTAATGAGGATCCTAAGGAAAACTATTTTTGGCCATGGAGGGGTTGGCAGGTCTGTTATGCCATAATGTCAGGGTTGGAGAATTGCACCAGGCTTGGAATCGTCGTGCTGTGGTGTGAGAGCAGTAGAATCGCCAGTGTTTTTTGCACGACTCTGCAGCTACATAATAAATTTAATGACAATGTGTTTTGACATTTCGTCACGTGTGTCCATCCTTTGCGCGTTTGTCGTCACATTCCCATCTCCTCATGCTGAAGAAACCAAACACATTATATTCACCATTGAAAGTCTTTGCCCCTTCTGAGGTAAGCCGGAATCTAGGTCTAGGACATGTAATGGCATTTGATCTCATTCTGTGCAATTTTGAATTTTGCCCATTTGTCACCTTGAAAGTGGTATGAATATCTGGAGAAAAAAAATTTAATGTTTTTTTTTTTTTCTCTTTTTTGTTGTTGTTTGTTTGCGTGGCTCTTTCCTAAAATGTAAGACACCCAGTGACATTTTCATACTTGACTCTCTATGTGTCAAAATGATTGTCTATTTATATTGATGCCTTTGGAAGACGTGTTTTACTTTATATTATGTGAGTAATTTAAAGAGCCTGACAGGCTGTCCCACTGTATGTCCCTCCATAAGATGTGTCGTAAAGTTAGAATGAAGAGACTGGCCGTGGGAGTCATTGGGAATTGTATGAGCCTTCATTTGGAAGTTAAAGGCAGGAGACCACCATAACTAACCCTTCAATCTCATCTCTGCACCTGTATGAAGCCATATATATTTCAGTTTTCCACTCTTGTCCTGTAATGTGGTGAGTGTGAATATATGTACCTAATTTTAGTAGCGTGGAATTGGAGTTGGGTTTTGCAGTGGTTTGTTTATCAAACATAGGGCGGGTCAGCACACACATGGTGACGGTAAGAAGAGGAAGGCTAGGCGTGTATTTGGATAGTTTGACTCTTTCTTTCATGATAGACTGGTGTTTTATTCCCCGTTTCTGTGCACACTATTTTTAGATTCTGAGGGTATATTTACAAAAAAAACCCACTCACAATTTGACAAATATTGACCAAAGTAGATGGTTGACCCTCAAACTGTTGCAAGTTGAACAAACAACATGAACATAAAACATGTGTAAATGTAGAATGTACGTAGAACGCATTATGAGAAGTAAAAAGAGGAAAAAGTGATTACTTAGAAAGCCATATTGAGCTGCAATGTATAGATAAGGGTTCCAGTTCACCGCTATAAAAGTTGCGATCCGGAGGGAAAGAGTTTTAACCCTATCCTTATGTCGTGTTTTACTATCGTATCCATACGAACTCTCTGCCACCACTTTCGAAAGAGGAAATTTACTCGTTAATCCGATCCTTACGCTTTGCATAGCAGTCTGTCAAAATTATTTTTTTTAGAAATACTGAAAGTTTCAAAGAGATCTTCGTACTAGAAGTATTCTAAAATGGGAAGAATACAGCCTCGGGTGTACAAAATGACCCCAGGGCGTACGGATAGGGCTAGTGGATGGAGGGAACGCTGGACATTGTTCTGACCTCTGAGCTCAGAGCTATTTGTCTCACCAGGTCCTCCCCAATACCCTGTAGGAGTATAGACCATTGACTTGCTCTCAGAACTGTATTGTCAAACACTGTGGCAGCAATGGCCGTCCAAATTTTGTCCCATAATAATAATAATAACAATAATAATAATAATAATAATAATGATAATACAGTCGACTCCACTTGTGATGAACTGGCTTGAGTCTGAGTTGTGGGTGGTTGGCGGGTGCTCTGGTGTGGTTTGCTTCCTTCTTTCCTGTCAGACATCTATCGTCCTTATCTCTCCTCCTCCTTTTTTGTGTATGTTACTCTCTTGTAACACCTCTATTTTTCGGCACTTGTATGACCTTATTATGTTGCAAGTGCAGTAAAACTCTTACTAAAACGAGTCTGAGTTGATTTTCGGTTAAGTTGATCTTTTTCTCAGGTCCCACCACCTCTTCTTGTCCACAGTTCCCAATAGTCAAGCTGAGTTTCTGATGAGTTGATTTTTTTTTTCGCTCTCCTGACATCAGCTCATCCAGAGTATTAGTACCGTATAGCTGACCTTAATAACAATAATAGTTTGTCCATCATGAACTGATGTTGACCGTTGACACCCAAGGAGGAGGAAAAATTATAGACCTTGCTTTTTGACATCAGCTCATACAGAGTATTAGTACCGTATAGCTGACCTTAATAACAATAATAGCTCGTCCATCATGAACTGATGTTGACCGTTGACACCCCACCCAAGGAGGAGGAAAAGTTATAGACCTTGCTAGCTACCGCAGGAGTAAATAATGTAACGGAAAAAAACCCCAACGTGCAGCTTGTCATAGTCACAAAACAAACATCACAACTCGCTGCAGATAGCAGTGCCTTTACCTTTCCTGTTCCTAAAGTGTTGTGCTTATCATTATCTGTGTATGGTTTTTGTCCCTCAATATTCGCAACTAATGTAAGTTTGTGTTATAGATTTGTATGCAAAGTTCACCTGGAACATCATACAAAGAAAAGCCAAAAGTAAGAGCTGAGAGGAGTGGAATAAGCTGGTTGCAAAAATCTGCAGTGGTACCCCAGCAGTTAGCCAGGTTACGGTATAGGTGAAGGTGAAGGAATTGGGGTTATCCTCTTTCAGAGTAACTGTTTCATGTCAGTTACGTTCTAATTTCTTGTACCTGAGGTTATCAATATATACAGATTTTGAGGACAATTTAGGTAAGCCTTGATAGTCGAAGCAGACCTTGTGCTGTTGAAGCTAGAGAGGTGAGCAGAGTAAGTCTGATTCCCTGTAAAGACTGCTCTGTTGACACCCACCCCTTGGCGCTCATATGACCTTATGCAGTTGCGAGCGCCGTAAAATCCTCTACTATAAAAACTGACCTGCCCCAAAAGTAGATATTGCCCTACCTGAAGGAGAAGTTTGGTTACATTGGTGTGTATTTGTTTGGTTATAGAGAAAACGCTCCTACTCCTTGTCTTTTAAAGAAACTGAACAAGAGTCCAAAAAGTTTTTCTTCGATTTTCTCAAAACAGCATTTTAAGGGATAGCCCCCTTGTGTTTAATAAAAAAAGCGACCAAATAGCTCCGCAGCTTCGTGACTGATACTCCGAAATGATCCTGTACTACCTGTAGGTTCAATAACAAAGAAATTTGGCTGTCACGCCTACATTTAAAATGACAACTTATTGTCGGAAGTTGTAAAGTAAACCCAGATGAATGTACTTTGTCTTTGATAGTGTTCTAGCTCTACTTGTGAGACCCCCTGGCCGTCAACTGTCACTGGGATAGTGTCCGTCTGTTGGTGCCCCACCCCTTTCTTCCACAACTGGCCGCGGTCTGTTCCAGTCTCTACTTTGATGAGTTTCTTTTTGTAAAGTTATAGACCACAGTCAGCTTTCATTATATTCGTGTGGCATGTGACAAAATGAGTCACTTTTATTTTAATGATTTTTAGACTATACTATAACTTTTGGGTATCAAATGAAAGATGTTTTCCAGACTTGAAAATGAAAGTTGGTATGATCAGGGGAGTTACGTGAAAGTTGAGGTCAAAGCTTATACATTTGTAATAATTGACCAGCATTGCTAAAAAGCGGCGTTGGTAATTGTCGGTAATTTTGACTCGTACACTCGCACACCCGTCTGTGTACGATCTTGGGGCACCGGACAGTGATTGGCTGTTGTTTCTTGGGATACCGGACTTTGGCTGTTGTTTCTTGGGGCACTGGACATTGACTGGTTGTTGTTTCTTGGGGCACTGGACATTGGCTGTTGTTTCTTGGGGCACCGGACATTGGCTGTTGTTTCTTGGGGCACTGGACATTGGCTGTTGTTTCTTGGGGCACCGGACAGTGACTGTCTGTTGTTTCTTGGGGCACTGGACATTGGCTGTTGTTTCTTGGGGCACCGGACAGTGACTGTTGTTTCTTGGGGCACTGGACATTGGCTGTTGTTTCTTGGGGCACCGGACAGTGACTGTCTGTTGTTTCTTGGGGCACTGGACATTGGCTGTTGTTTCTTGGGGCATTGGACAGTGATTGGCCGTTGTTTCTTACTTCTTGGGGCACTGGACAGTGATTGGCTGTTGTTTCTTGGGGCACCGGACATTGGCTAGCTGTTGTTTCTTACTTCTTGGGATACTGGACATTGACTGGCTGTTGTTTCTTGGGGCAGTGGACAGTGATTGGCTGTTTCTTACTTCTTAGGGCACTGGACAGTGATTGGCTGTTGTTTCTTGGGGCACTGGACAGTGATTGGCTGTTGTTTCTTGGGTCACTGGACATTGACTGGAGGTTGTGCACCTACTCACGCACAAGTAAGCTAATGATTGCAGATGTACTTGCACACGTACATTGACACACACGTGTGTATAATATGATTATGTGTGCTTTCACCTTCACTAGTATGCATGCAGTTGGATTACCGGGTACGTTCGCACGTGTTTGTCCTCACATATAGTGGCATCGATGGCCTAGTGGTTAGGCTCTCGGACTCGCAACTGTATGGTCGTGGGTTCGAATCCCGTCGTTAGTGCTCTCCTCCCCCCCCCCTCTCTCTCTCTCTCTCTCTCTCTCTCTCTCTCTCTCTCTCTCTCTCTCTCCTCTCCTCTCCTCTCCTTCTCCTCCTCCTCCTCCTCCTCCTCCTCCTCCTCCTCCTCCTCCTCCTCTCCTTCCATCTCACCCCACTCTCTCTCTTTCCTGTATAGTTACAACAGTACAGTAATACAGTATACAGAATAGCCAGTCGTTAAGGTATTTTTGTTGTTGTTGTTTGACTCCTAACTGCAGAATGCCGCTGTTGTCTGTGCGCCAGTTGTCACGTGACTATTTCGTTGTACATAATGTTGCCTGGGGTGGAGAGGTCAGGGTTCAAAGGTGTTGTGGAAAAGCTAACTGGGTGGTTGTGCAATCACATGCAGCGATGTGTACCGCGCACAAACCTTGTGGAAGTATGTATTGTATTGTATTTGTATTAACAGAGGTTGTGGGTAAACAGCTCTTTTGTGTGTGTTTGTGTGTGTGTGTGTGTGTGTGTGTGTGTGTGTGTGTGCATGCCGCGCGCGTGGGTTATTTCAGGGGTACTACTAGTTGTTTAGACGCCACTTTGACAGATAGATAAAGAAGATGCATCATGTTTCTTTTTAATTCTTTTTT